TGATAGAACAAAGCGCTGGAGGCCAAAGCACCATAGATCACTAGCCGAGCCAGGTTTTTGTAATTGCCTAATTGCCAAAGGGGCAGCGGTGAGATCCCACTTTGGGATGCGGGTGAGGGCGGGGTCGGAGTTCGACCTTCCATAAGCTGATCCCAGCTAGATAAGAAGCCGGAATGGTTTTAGCAGCATGGAACCGTACCGGGGGACGCGTAAAAACGAGTGTATATTGCGCGGCCGGGTGGGGCTGGCTTTAAATAGTTGAAATGTTTGTTTTAAAAAATTTGCAGCGAGGCGATTTGGCGAGATGCGGGTGAAGACGATTTCGCGCAATCCGGAGGACTACCAGCGCGAAACGAAGAACGATATCTTCAAGGGTATGACTTGTTGTGCTTTGCTCTGAAGCGGGCGGAAAATGCTGTCCCTCCGAGAAACTCTTCACTATATTGCCATCGTCGCCGACATGTTGCTCTTGTTATGCGTTTTTTGCAGCTATGCAATGCAGAAAACGCATATTGACGATAGGCTTTCTGTATGTGTATGTCTGTGTGTTCGTCTGTACCGATTTTTCATCTCGAGATTGGCAAAAGCTACAGGGCTGAAACTTCGGGGGCATAATGTACATACATGTGCGGGGCCACATCCCCGAAATGGGCGGTCTTACCCGCGTGGTACCCACATAATAGCCCGCCAAAATTTTTCTCGGGTAAGTTGATATCTCGCAAACCAGAAAAGCTAGAAGGCTGAAATTTTAAGGGGATGTCCTCCATCCAGGTAGGTATTAATGAGCTGAAACCCAGCTCGCGGGTAAGTGTGGTACCCGCGTACAGGCCTGCTAAAATTTTTTTCCGGTAAATCCATAACTCGGGGATCTGAGAAGCTAGAAAGTTGAAATCTTAGGGTGATGGTCCCTGTCCAAGCGAGTATTAGTGAGCTCAAATCCAGCCTCCAAATAAGAGTGGTACTCGCGTGCGGGACCGCCAAAATTTTTTCGGGTAAGTTGATAACTCGAGTACCTGAGAAGCTGAAGGACTGTAATTTTAAGAGGAAAGTTTCATTCAGTTCAAACCCAACTCTCGGGCACGCGTGGCAAACACGCATGGGCCCGTAAAAATTTTTTTCCAGTAAGTTGCTAACTCAGAAGCCAGGGAAGCTAGAAAGCTGAAATTTTAAGGGGGTGTTTCCTGATAGTTCTGGCGGCCAGTCTTAATTTGTTTAGCTAGAAGCATTTGCCGAAAAAGCCTGTGCCTGTAGCAACAAAAACTGCGGGGAACTATGCAAAAAATGCATCTTCGCGCGGGCAGCCCACGCGTTGGCCAATTATTTTAATTTTCGTTATTGGCACGTTACCCGCATGAGCTTATCCCTCGGCTGGAAAGCATGTACCGTCGACCTACTGAATAGTGCTACTCTCGTCTGCGCGGCTGCTAGTGGATATAACGTATTGAGAAATAGCCTGTGGAGCAACTGAAGAGTTCGAGCTCTTGCATGGGACAGCCATTCCCTCTCACTAGCGGATTCGGGGCTGGAGAAGGGGGGGAGGGGAGGGAGGGAGCAGTAGGTGTTTCGCCTCTTCTTCCTACTCCTGCCCCTTGCGGCGCAGGTAGCAGTTGTTTTACTGTAGAAAACTCTTTTCGGTGCATCCTGCCTCCCTTTCCCGTTCCAGGGAGCCCTACTTTCTTTTTCTCCCCCTCATCCGCTGGTCATGGCCACATTTTAGGGTCAACCAGCAAGGGGAGGCGGTAATGAGGGGGGAGAGGAGGGAAATCGTCCAGACCCCCCTCTCCCCTCCCCCAAGAAGCCGTTCTGGATCCGCCTATATTCCTTCTACGATTTCTTCATTCGTTTCGTTGTTAAACTACCATCGGTTTGATTGTAAGCAGTCCTCCAGAGGTGAAACCATCGACAGTCCTTAGTATTTACTTTTTTTTACCGCTCAGACTACTCCCCAGCTGCAATCACCTTTCGAGTTGAGAGTGACCAAGATGGTTTTGACTTTTGATTAACGTGTTGTGTAAATGCGGGATCCGGCCATGCCGTGCTAGTGAAGTACTGCGTTTGATTGGCTCATAACTACAAATGTTTGTGACAAATTGTTCGATTTTCTGCTATAAAAAATCAGGTGCGTCGTACGGATCTGGGAGGAATGTAAGGGCTTAGGTTGTGCTTGACGACTGTTCTTGACGAATGTTCTGTTGCTTCAGTGAGCTTGCTGCTGTAGTGAAATGAGGAAGTTGCATCACTAAGGATGAGGGTTTTGGCCCTTCATCAATAGCCACATGGCCGGGACACTTGGAATTCTGCCATTAATTTGACAAAAGAAGATTGTAAAGTCTGACCCGAAGATTCGTCCGATTTCTGTGCAAAATGATCGCTTGTGAAGCTTACATGACATATTAGGATCGCAGAGCATACTGTGAGGTACAGGAACGCGGGCCATACTATCTGGACACGGTTACTGGGCACGCTAGATAGGCCGAGGCTCAGGGGCACACTCTCAGGGGACTCAGGCGATGTGTTTATCAGAAGCAGCAAAAAGTTGAAAGTTCTTTCTTCTTGAGATATTATGCAAAGGAAGAGGGTGGCACTAATCAAACAAACAACCGGTCCTATTTCGATTCATTCTTGCAGCTTAGGATTGAAGGGCCTGTCCGTGGTTGCATTCCAGTAACATCATTAACAGCAAATCCCCACATTGATTATTAGAGGTATTTATACTGGAATTGGCCAAGCAAAGATTTGCACACTGTTTTATCATTTTTTAGCGCCAAGAAATTACAATCTTGCGGAAGACCCGTTCCAAGTTCAAGTGGAATATACGAGGGCCGTGAATGCAGCAAAACTGAACAGGTACGTATTTCAAGCGATCCGTGACCGCTGGTCAGTGAAAGAGGTGCGATTCTTCCGACTGGAAGCAGCTAGATTTGTACTAGTTGACGGCAAATTTTTGTTTTTTTTTTTTGAAGCAGGTACGGAACTTTGTTCATTGAGAAAGAGAATATCGAAAGAAAATTACTGAAGGAAATTTTTGGCCGAGGTCAGTTAAAGTGAATTGATCTCACCCAGAAATTTCTGTTTCCCTTGAAGCGAAGCTTGTTTTTCTTTTTTCTTTTGACGGAAGGGTTGGTGGTAGCATGCATTATCATCCTACTTTAACTCGATATTGCTTGGAAATAACTGCCCACCATTCAGCTGTTCTTGAGTGGTATACATTTTCACATATGTGATCATACTTCTGAAGTTACTGGGATGAGTTAAGAATTGTTATCTTTTGTATGTGAATAACTACAGCGTTGAAATTTGTTGTTTTAATTAGGTTGCCATTCAAGCTTTCCTGGAAAAAGTGCTTGAATTTTCGAAGTAGAAACTTTCAGAATCCACAGTCACTGTCCAAACCATTCTTTTTTTTTTTTTTTCAGAGTATTTGCAAAGCCGTTCGTTTCAAATTTGAGTGGCCATTGTGATGGTGTTTCAGTACTCGCCAAGAATCCGTTTAGGTATACGCGTTTGTTTTTCTCGACACTTTTTATTATGAGACAGAAATATCTGACGGAGGAGGAGGGGAAGCGAAAAGAGCTGTTACGAAGTAAAATTGTTCGGTGTTTAGCTTTTTTTTTCTCATCAAGAAATAAGACCTGACGTCAAAAGATTGAGGACCGAAGCGGGAAGGAGGGGGAGAGAGAGAGGAAGTTGGAGTAGGACGAAAACGAATTTTTTGGTTATATTTAGTTTTTTTTTTTTTTGCAAATCGCTTTGTAATTCACCCTCGTTAAAAGGCGGAAGTACTCCGATTTAGTCTGAGTGACAGCATATGCCAGCAGCACCCATACTGGACAAGCCTATTAATGGTTTTGTTTTCTGAGAACCACGCTGATGACGGTTGCCTGATATACGCCAGCACTAATTTGCTATCAATTGGCGAAATCCAGTTTTCGGCCTTTAGTGCTGCTTACCATTGTGCCATACTCCTCAGCCAGTTTATTACATAATTTATTTTGTTTCAATTTAATTTGTCGTTAGTTTTTCTGAAATTATATAAAACAAAGAAAGTTATTTTCATTTTCTGCGGTTTTTCACCTATTTTACACATGTGATATTTTACAATTTAGTTTTTTCTTATCTACGTTTCTCGTTTGTACGTGAGATCTTTTACCAAGCTGTAAAGCCCGTCTTCTTGAAAGTTGTTTTCCGTCATATTGGAAATTATGCATTAAAGATTATCCACAATACTTTCGGGTGGTCGCGATGGGCAAGTACGGATGTGGGATCTGTCGCTCAGTAAATGCCTAGCGACAATT